CTTACCCCCCGGGGAAAGGTTGGAAACACTACTGGATAACTCCGTTTTCTTTAAAACTCTTTTATGTCACATTCAACACAAAAAAACATGAGCTTAAAATTAAGCTACCTGAATTATGGCTGCACAAAGTTTAAATTCTCAATGAGCCCAACTTACTGCTACGAGCCTGAATTTCAGGAAGTAAGGATGGCTCAGCAGTCAGCATAGTGATCCAAGTCCACCTGCACGGCCGAGCCGCTGCAGTTCAGTTCGACAGCATCGGCGATGAGCGCTCGCAGCTCCTCCACGTTACCGCATAAGTGCTTCACCTTTGGGTAAGCAATGATTCTCTCCAGGGGTACGTAAAACTTATCTCCAATACAGAAAGGTTTGGGAGTCATCTCTGTGGACTTTTCAGCTTCTTTGAGTGGTTGAGGGGATGGAAGGTCTGAAGTGAATTTTCTTCTTGGGTTGTCGGAGTCTTCCGGATCAGCCTCCAACTCACACCAAGTCAGACCCATTTTATATTTCCGTCTCATTCTGTGCACTTCTCGGTACGTTTCATAAACCACTACACGTCTGCGGTACTTTATTTGCTGTAAACTCGGGTATGAGGTCGTATAAGCCTGAAAGGGGAAAAAAAAAGAGACTTGGAATATAAGAAAATCTCCAGGACCACTAGTAACATTTTCCCACACTACAATTAACTGGATGTACATATTAACCACATGTACATGTCAAACCCTACAACTGTGAATGCCACAATTATAATGGAAGTCGAACTACTGACACATAGACAGTAACTGATTTGCTTTCAAATTTCAAATGATCCAAGTCTCCCAGCAAGGTTTCCACCAATTCATACCAACCCAGTATTCTTACTTGACAGGAGAGGGAAAAGGGTAAAAGGAAAAAAATGTTGTTAGTTAAAAGGGAAAAACTGCGTTTATTCTTCACCATACCTCGTTAAACCAAAAGGGTCTGACAAGCTTGGAAGCTCAGCTTCAAATCATTTCTTGAACCAAGCTACGGAGAAACTGCTGCTAACTTTCCTCTTTCCTAACAGATCACGAAAGGGAGGTTGCTGGCACAAACAGTCTGCAAGTATTCTAAGACACCAGCAGATCGTTCTCTGTAACATACTTTGAGACACTGTGGGGCAACCTCAAAGTAAGGTCATTTACACTTCTCTACAGTGGGGGCTCAAACACTTCACCATCCCAGTAAGCAAACTTGCTCTGAGAGCTACCTCACACTTGATACTCACAACTTGATAAACATGTTGGCCCTGCTGCTCCGAAATATCAGGTTCAGTTGCCTGTGCTTTTCTGTGGAAGATCCCTATCTGGGTACAATATCCAACATCCTCAGCTCCTGATGGAGGTTCCCCCACACCAGTAAACTCCACAGAGTAATTGTAGCGATTTGCCACATCTAAAGCCCTGAAGTCAAAACAAAGAGAAAAGTCATTTTTCCAAACTTAGAGCTAGTGTTAAACAGCCATTTCCAGTAGACCAGAACATGAAAAATACAAACCAAAATAAGCTGCAATTCCTGTAACACCGCATAATGCCGTATCACGGGGTTTGCTCTGCTTGCTTCTGTCTGAAGCATTAAGGCAATGACAGTGTCAGTTTAGAAGTAACCACAAGAATATGGCGCAGAGTGCAGGGATGGACAAGACCACAATGGCTATAATCATCCCAGCTCCTATTTGGGTTCACACTTATGCCTCCATCAAGCCCCTGAGAGATAACCCTGGGCCAGGGCACCTTCACAGCCCCACCTTCCTCCTCTGTTTCCTGATCTCCCCACCAGCACTCCTGATACCTGTTCTTGAAAGGTACCAGGTGCCCACACACCCTTTCCAGACTGGCCTGCCTGAGGGACCTGACAGGGAAAACACACAGCGCTCAAATGTGGTGGTTCCTTAATGATTTCTTTATATGCTAAGTTGCACTTTGAGAGTCAGTTTTATTGGAATAAAATAAGGAATCACTGCAATAATTAGTATTATGCGTGGTAACTGTAGATAGGAAGATTTACTTCACAGGGTTGAAAACTCCAGTGCAGCCCCCAAAATCAAACAAACAAAAAACCTTAAGAACTCACCAGGTCTGAAACTCCATTCTGCTCCACTCAAACTTGTGATCTAAATCCCTAAAGTCTGAGTATGGAAACAGGGAGTTGAAATCGGAGTTCGGTGTGCTGATGACGATCATGGCTGGGGACATGTACCCAAATACAACTTCAGGAAACTTGGCCAGATCTTCTGAATCAAAATGTTCTATTCTAAAGTGGTAAGTGAGAAAATACAATCAAACCTAGCTTTGCTTGCAAGTAGTTTCCTAACTGATTTAGCAAAACAATGTCTAACCATGGACCTCTCAGACCAGGTAAGAGAAAAGGGTCATCCTCCGCTATTTTGGAGCCTCTGTTCTACTAGAATTACAGTATGATCCCCCACTTCCACTTCCGGGGAGAGATCCAAAATAACTGAAAGTCCATGTTCACAGCAGCATTATTCGCAATAGCCAAAAGGTGGCTATAAACAGGAATGGATAAGCGAACTGTGACATATACAATGGAGGAGTAATTTCAAGCATTAGGTGCCTGCCATGTGCCAGGCAACAGGAAATACAAAAGAAATAAAAGGTAAACACTCTGCTCTAGAAAACACATTACTAAAAATTAGAAATCAGAACACAATACTGGGCGAACTGACCCCAGAGTTCAGACCCTTAACTATGATTAAAAGATCATTAAGGGAGGAGGGTATAGCTCAAGTGGCAGAGCACATGCTTAGTATGCATGAGGTCCTGGGTTCAATCCCCAGCACCTCCATTAAAGGAAAAAAGGAAATTAAATAAATAAACCTAATTACCTCTCCCCCTACAAAAAAAAAATCATTAAGAGATACATCTTGGTTTCTGAAAATCATTTCCCACTAAAAGGAACCAGAACTCCTTTAAGAAATGGCAGACTGGGGAGGAAAAGTAGACAGCCAGCATGGTACATCTTACTGTGCCAGAAATTAAGTGCTCGAAAAAGGACAGATCACAAGAAAATGGGTCAGCTTGAAGGGACCCCCACTGACCAATCTGGGGACAATATGAGCAAGAAAATACAGTAATATGTTACAAATCATTAAAAAAACAGGAGTTCATGACGTCATACTGATGATAACTGACATGGCAAAGTCCTGAGTTCAATCCCCAGTACCTCCATTAAAAAAAAATTTAATAAAATAAAAATAAATAAACCTAATTACCCCCCCTGCAAAAAAAAGTTAAAAAAATACGTTAGAGATGGTGAGGTGGAAGGGCTCTTGGCAAGTAAATAGAAGTGCTGAAATTGCAAAAAGCATTTGCCACCATTGTGAAACAGACGGAAAATATTAGGGAGACACATGGCTGAGTGGATGAGTAACAAGATATGTGCGTGGTTTTAAAGTGTCTCTCCGCAGACTGCTTATCAGCTGCAGGGGAAGCAACCACACCTTGACCGGGGAGATCAAAATTAACATCCCCCAGAAGGGACAAAGGGACAGTGGTGCCTCCAGCTGGGATGATCTGAGAAGGACCCAGATAACATCCTCAGTTCTCTACTGTATTCCAGGACTGCGCTGCCTGCACCTAATCACTAAGAGCCAAAAATGAAAAACAGACTTATTAAAAATAAAGGGGACTGGCTATTTAATATAGAATTTATTAGGAACAAAGGGTAAAACCTACCCTTAAATGGTTCAGGAAAAGATACGTATGGAAGGAGAGACAGAAACTGAGGGAGACAGCAGGAGGGCATGTACACCAAAGGTGAAGAAAATGAGGGAAATCCTTGACTCAGGATAAAGGATATAGGTGTTCCTGGTACTACTGACTTTTTGCATCTCACCTATAAACTTGAAATCATTTCCAAATAAAAAAAGTCAGTCCCAAGTGACAAGCAATTTTTTTTTCACAAATACTTCAGATTATTTTTTTTCTTGAGGTACAGTCAGTTTACAATGTATCAATTCCTGGTGTACAGCACAATACTTCAGTCACATAGGAACATACATACATTCGTTCTCATATTCTTCAGCACAGGTTACCACAAGATATTGAATACAGTTCCCTGTGCTATCCAGTATAAACTTGTTTCTCTATTTTATATATAGTAGTTATCTGCAAATTTTAACCTCCCAATTTATACCTTCCTACACTCACAAATAATACAGATTATGACAAATATTTAGGATGCTAAATTTACTAGGACTAATTCATTCAGATTTTTCAAATGAATGTATACAGTAAGCAGTAGTTTAATACTTACAATTCAATACACGTAACCATGTCAAATCCAACCAAGCGACAGTCTTTCTCCAAAACAGAGCCCTGATACAAGGTAATAATTAAATCCAGCTCCCTGGGGTACAGATGATCCCCCACGCAGGCAGACAGCTTACACCTGCAAAGGCATTATTGTAGAAGGAACATTTGAACACAGACTATTCAGAATATCTTACCTGCAACAGAACTCTGATCCTGATAATTATCTCCTGCCTACATTGGTAAGTCTGACATGGTCTGTTTTCCATGACGATGTATTAAGCACACAGTCACAGGGTAACTTCCTCTCCCAAAGGGCATTATATTATGGCCAAGAAGAACGAGATTTCTGAGTATTTGATACTCTTCTAATTATTAATACTTTTGGCTCTCTCAGCTCACTCTGGATCAGTGATTTTCAATTTTTTGTTCTTTAGAAGAAAGACATTCTTAAAATAATCACATATATATACAAGAGCTACTCTGGTTCAAATTAAAGGGGACCCGGGGCCTCTGCCCCAGTGCTGTGGCAATTTAAATCCTCTGCTGTAAGTTACCGTGGTGCCCAGCATTAGACTTTGCCATTTGAATTTGAATTTGCAATGCTTTGATTGCTATAATTACTTAATTGAGGCTATAGTTTCTACATAGGTAGAAGCAAAACACAGATATTATTCACAACATACAGCCAATTAGTGTTATGGTAAAGGCATTATTCCGTGAGCCTGTAGCTCTCACAGTGCCTCCTTTTAAACAAGTTGTATAAAACATTTAAAAAACAGTTCCTCTAGGTATAATAGTGCCACTAGTTTTAGATTAATGCATAGTTCTTTCAGAAATTCAGTATTACCCATGCCATTTAAATTTCTCTTCATTGATATCTACTCCAACAAGCTCTTCAAGGCACTTTTGGTATTTTAACATCCTCAGTAGGAAAACATCACCGCACCCCAAGTCTGCAACCTGTAGACAAGATAGAATGTTATTTCAAAGACATGATAGCCAAAGAAGTCAAATACGATCAAGAGTTTTTTTTGTTTTGTTTTTCAGAAAGAGTGAGTATCAAAAAAATTATATAGTATCTTTTTGGTAGAAAAAATAGATAAAAAGGAAATTAACCTGATACACTATAAATCTAAGGGGAAAAATAAATCCTGTTAACTTCCCATGACCTACAAGAGTGTGTGGACAATAAACTCCTCTAATTCAGATGAGTATCAGATATATCCCAAGGGCCTGGCCCAGGAGCAGCACACAGGACAGGCAAGTGCTCTAAGATGAATCTGTGCCTCTAAAAAGCTTCCAGATTTGGAGTGCTTACCAAACATACCAGGCCAGAGCCTGATCTCGTTCCTCTAATCCCCTTCAGATTTACTCACATGCATTCTTACAGTTTTTTTTTTTTTGGTTAGATCTGATTTTCTTAATCACACAATAAAGTCTTCATTAACCATAGCTGAGTTATCTATGTCTCTGAACCCCACTTTAGGTAAAAAAGGGCAAATGAAGATAACGCATGACAAACACTGAAAAGGACCCACACCTCAAAAAGTATGCAATCCACCTCAAAGCTGCACCCTTGGTTATTCAGTAATTTTCCTCTCTGCGGCAGGCACATTTATGGGATAGCGGGAGAAGGGGAACGCAGAACTGAAAAGTGAAAATCTAGTTCCAGAAAACAAATCACAGAAAGCATTGAACTGCACTAATTTTTAAGTAGTATATCCAAATTTCTTCCAAATAGGAATTGCGCTGAAACTATACTATGAAGGAAATGTGAGCTTCACCAATACCTGCAATCCACCTGGCAAAAAGACAAGTCTGTGAAGTCTAACAGCACAAAACTCATGAGAATTAAACCACCACTTTCCTTAAGACGTCTGTCATCCTTTAGCCTACAACGGACCCTACAGAATTCAGATGCTCACTGGACTAGCCTTGTTCACTGAGCTACACTCCTTTGGTCCTATGAAATCCAGACACTGACACTGCAGGGAGGTGTTACCCAGACAGAATCCAGGGCCAGCACTGATCATGAACCTTTGCTACAAAGGGAAAGTGGATGGAGGCCAAGGGCTCCTTGCCTTTCCCCTACCGTTATTATTATCTAATTAAAAAGGACCACAGTACCTATGTCCACAGGACTGGTCTGCTTGATGTTCGGACTACATGCTCGATAAATGTGGAACACAAAAAGACCACATCCAATGGTAAAAATGTCACAATTTTCTTCACATTTGAAACTGGCAATGTTGAATTTTATCTGAGTCCCGCGCTCCTGGTAAACAGGTTAAAGGTACACACCTACGCTTTGTATCTCCAGAAAGGGCTTTCAGAAGGTACCATTTTCCCCAGTACTCACAGATGCTGCCTAGTGTTCCCACGCTCTGCCTTGAATGATTACCTTGACTACTTGTCCCACTGATCAAAACAAAATTCTCCCCTTCTCCTGGGCCCCTGAACATTGGACTGCCAATGTCATTCAGCTAAGGATCCCTCCCAGAAAACAGGCTGGTTTCAGGTCTCACACATTCTACTATCCAGTCACACCCCCCTTTTATCCTGCTCACACTCCTCTCTGTAAAAGAAAAATCCTTTTTACCCATTAAGACAAGTGCTCTCCCTATTGCAAACTCTTTCCCTCCTTGCAAAAGTCTTTTTGTATAGTCTCTGCTTGCTAAGTCCTTACTAAGATTTTTTTAATTTGACAAAGCACTACATAAGGCATTCTTAACAATTAAACGTTTGGAAAGAGAAATACCTACCTTCTTGGGTTCGTGTTGCGCCACTAAATTTTTAACGAATTCATAACGTTGTCTGTATAACGGAGGATTAAACTTAATTACCTTCTTGTCGGGAACGTCTTCAACGTTACCATCAACCACACTATTGCACTGAAAGTTTACAAACAAAAAAAAGGGAGGTGTTCTAATCATGCATGACTTCAGGAGTTAAAGAAGAAAAAAGTTTTTACTTCCCCCAATCACTCTGCAGAACACACAGGCCCTGGAACCACCTCCGTCCTAAGCTCATGAGGTTGCACTGTACTTTCTCCACACTTCATTTCATCTAAGCCTCCTCTCATGTCTTTTAAGTGATTGTCTGGCTTTATGCTTCCTATAGCTTAGAGTCTGCTGAAGGGAAAATTACTAATGAATGCATTTAATAAAACAAGGGACCCAGGGACAGGTATAGCTCAGTGGCAGAGCACATGCTCAGCATGCATGAGGTCCTGGGTTCAATCCCCAGAACCTCCTCTAAAAAAAATAAGCAAAACCCAATTACCTAACTAACTAACTAATTAATTAATTAAAAAACAAGGGACCTTTAGTGAAGTGAATTGCCAAAGCCTGCAAACTGACAAAAGACTCTTCTTAACCAAACTGAAGTCAGGCTGAGCCCTCTTCTGACTATACTTGCCTAGACCCTGCCCTGTCTTTGGCCTGCCTTCAGAACCCTACCAAGTAGGTTTAGCAGGAACTCCATACCTTGATGTCTCCCCTCTTCCATCCACTCATCCCCTCATTCTGCTCATAGGCTACAAATCCCCAGCTGTCCACTGCATGTGGAGTTGGGCCCCACCTCTCTCCCCTACTGCAATGCTCTTACTGCAATAGTCCTAAATAATTTTCCTTTTTAATAGCCCTATTAAAAGCCTTTTATACATGTCAGAATTAATTTAACATGATTCCATTCAAAAATAATGTCATGATTAATCCATAGCTGCTGTCACTGCTATTCCTAAATACCAGTATTACAAAGGAGTACAGTCCAAAAGGCACCTAATGTCCACAGTAGTGCTGTCCAATAGAAGTAAAATACAAGCCAAATGTGCAACTTCCTTATAGCCTATTTGTAATATTTTAAGGGGTAATTAACCAGTATATCTTAAGTATTTCAAGATGAAATCAGACATGCTTGATCTGTATTTGAGTTTCAAAAAAAAGTACATTTAAAAAGTAGTTTCACACAACCAAGTTATCCCAAACATACTCAAAACTTTCCCAATAATGAAACCTGTTATAAACTAATTTTCAAGTCAAATGAAGTTCCATTTGTCAGTTGCTCAAGCCATATCTCAAGTACTCCATAACCACGTGTAATGTGTACTCCAAATGTGGTTCCCGAACCACTGTCCTCTTTATCTGGAAACTTCTTAGAAATGCAGGCGTCACTTCTACAGCGCCTCAATCCGAACCTGCAGTTAACAAAATCCCCTGGTGACCCAAAAGCACGTTAACATTAGAAAAACACTATAAACACCAAATGTGGAATTTAATCTATGTATATCTTTATTTAGCTCAACCAACACCCCAAGAAATGTTAGGCGCTAAATGTGATGGATTTTCCTTGTAATCATAGCCAGCCATCAGCACTGGAAGGGCCATTTTATACAAAGGACTTGAGCATCGGCGAATTTTGGTGTCCGCGGGGCGCCCTAGAACCAAAACCCCGCAGATACCAAGGGCGGGCTGTACCTCACAGCCTCACACTCTCGCGATGATTCTTCAGAGTCATAGGGCAGGTCAAGAAGAGGGCAGCCTTACCTCTAGGTGGTTTTCTTCCATTTTGTTGAAACAAAGACGCAAATGTATCCTTCAAGCTCTAGGAATCAGCAACAACTAGGCTGTAAACACAATAGGAAGAGAGTGAGACTTCCCCCTTCTCTTTACATTTAATCCACATTAAATTGCCAGTTAATCCACAGAATTTATTGTTTCAGACAATAGCAAAGAGGCTCAAAAGGCCTAAGTAACTTTCCGCTACGCCAAACACATGCAATAACACCCATTCTTTATTAGTTTGATACCAACTGAACAATTCTATCAGTTGTGACTATTTCATTAAAACCCTCCACCTCACTCAAATTGCTTCCAATTACTCTTTCACACACGGTCAAAATGTAATTTAAAGGGGAAAGTGTCCTAAACAAGTGACAAAGATGCTCCAACACATACCCAATTCACTGATGGCCTTGAATTTAAACTTTAGTTCTCTGCTGCACACCCGCCTCTATCAACTAGAACTCAGTCTAAAACGGAGCCATGTCCATCTCCTAACTTTTAAGCTTATTCTCTAACTCGTACTCCGAAACCCTCCTCAAGCGAGCCAACGTTACGGCGTTATCATAGAGCATGAGTCGACGCAACTATTACCTGTAGTAAGAAGCACCTTCAAAGCACAGGCAAAGCGCCGCAGCGACCAGCGGATAAAGCGCAGACGAGCGGACCCCGCCGCGCAGCAGCCGCATTTAACCCCGGGCCCCGCCCCTGGCACCGCGCAAGCCCGCCTCGCCACGTGACGTTCCCCGCCGCGGCCACACCTGCACCGCCCACATC